ATTCGCCAGATACTGGACCACAAGCCGTCTTCGTACCTCAGGTTTGGAGTCCGAAACAGTGGTTGCGGCTTAACTTACAAGTTCCGTTATGCAGGTTCTGTTTGAAATTGATCTCCTAATATTCCTCAAAAAATCTTGTTGCTGGACGCCTAATATGTACCTCTAATATGTACCTCCAACTAATTAGTGCCTCTAATATGTATTTTCCATGTGATATGGGATCTTCAGGACTGAAAGAATTTTCTTCTTTCTTGAACATAAGTAGGCTTTAAAAAAGAAGGAAAAAAATGTGAACAAGATTTTGTTAAGATTGATTAATTGTATACTCTTCCCATTTCAAAACATGTCTTTCCTAGCAATTTCAATATCAATTAAACATTAAATAATGTATTTGAAATAAAAATTTCTTTTATTATTATCTATAGAACTAACCACCAACCAATATAATATCATTTTAAATATTATTCTTTCTAATACAAGAGTAATATTGAAGAAATAAGATAAATTTTGTCCCCGATTTTGTGAAATGATAAATAGTTTAAAAATTTTGTAAACCCTAAAAATGACATATATTTAAGAATGAAGAGATTAGATTGTAATTTGTCGTGGTGCATAATATAAGAACTTTAATGAGTAAATCTTATTTTATACTCTCTTTATCGCATAAAAATAGTGACACTTAAGTATTGAGCAATTTCAAAACTCAAATGCAGAGTATTTTTTCCGGGACAGAGAGTATTGTTCATAATGATTTTTCAGTCTAGAAGGCAGACGACTGCCGCAAAAATGGGTAACTTCAAATCTAGTATATCATGACCTAGGAAAGAGTTTAAAATTAGGTTTTGCTTATCTTTGATTCGAAAAAAAAAAGGATGTAAACCTAGATTTAAAAACTCTCATAGGGGAGGTATATGTAATATGCTTTTTCTAATTTATATTGCTAATTGAGCTTTGTGGCATTGAATATGGGGTTATACTGGGGTTTTTCTTTTCTTTGTTTTAGAGAGAAATTAGAAAATAACTTGTTTAATTAGCGTCAAAGAATTTCTTGTCGCACTATAACAGTTACCAATGTAATTACTCCTTCTGTCCCGTAATTATTGTCCATTTTAGATTTTTAATTCTAGTTCAAATTATAATAAAAGTAAAATCTCAAACTAGATAATAATTTTAGAACAGAGAGAAATCACCGTTTCATGAAAATGCAAAAGAAAACATTAAAAAAAAAAACATTATCGACCATATCGTGTTCTAAGTTGGATCGAAATTCGTACTCTACCATTACGAAATTGCTCCTTAACCTGACCAATAATAAAATTGAGCTACCATCTCAAGTATTGCTACTTCATTGACCAATTGCTCTTCATCAATGAACTAAACAACTTTAGACGCTCTTTCAATTTTCTGACATCTCTATTTTTCTTTTTAAACGAATGTACAATGATCTTTTCATTTCATAGAATGTGATTATATGATTTAGCACATGATTTTATAGTTCTTCTATTCCTTAGAATGTGATCAAATGAGTTAGCAGATGATTTTATTTATTGTTCTTTGTGATTTTCGGCAGCTGCTTTCAAGTTTTCATTATAAAATTATATAATTTTTTCATCTCAAAAATAAAGTTTTATTTATTGTATCGAGTATTATTTAATTTAGTTTCACAAATAGAATTTTTATTATGGGACAGCAGAGAGTAAGTAAAGGCACTATGACGAGAGAAGGACAGCAACTCCTCCATTCGTTATTTAGTATTTTCCTTGTTAAGGACTTTTGGATTGAAGTATCTCTATATATATACTTTTAGAATTATCTCTAATACAGTGTTTCTATTCTGATCAGATATAAACTTTATTTATGACGCATTGTCGATGTGGAATATGTTTTACGATTGCGACCCTAAAGGAGCTGCCAAGTCTAACCACACTATGTTGTTCAATCGAGATTAATCTGAATGGAACATGTTTCACAGTTTTTGTTAATAACAAAATACTTCTTTTAATTCAGAAAAATAGTCATATTATAAATTGTTAATTATAATTTTTTAATGTTCAATGTTGATTGTTTTTGTTAAGAGAGAGGAAGTTCAATATTGTGCAGATTCTTGTCTTATTTATTTATTTACATTTATTTTTGAAAAGTTTTGTCTTATTTTATTATTAGGTAGAGTTTTGTGCTTAATTAATTTGGTCACGTCTACGTTTCTTTTGATAGCAAAACAAGTACGGTTAGCATGGCCTTCGTTGGAGTCTTATTTGGCTAATCCTACTATTTGCTTGAATATTATAATCTGTCGTTTTTGTATTTATACAACTCGTAGTGTGATAAGAGACTGCACTATACATAGGCAAGAGTTGGATATCTCACGGCAAATTATCTGGTATACCCGGGGGCACCGTGTACCCCCCTGCGTGTGTAATTTACTCTCTTAGAATAATGTGAGTTCGCTAGATAATTCATTCTTCTTTTTTTTTTTTTTTTTTAAACACGTGTGGATAACCAGTGTTGGCACTATGTATAACCAGTTACACACAGCTGGATAACCATTATTAACCTGTTGGATAACCAGTATGGACATAGTGGATAACCAGTGTGCACATTATGGATAACCAGTTACACACAGCTGGATAACCAGTTCCCAAATTTCATTTTTTTCCTTTTATATTTTTCTTCGATATCCTTGTCCGTATTTTTACACTGGTTATCAAGCTGTCCCTCATTCATTTTTTTTTCTCCATCATTTGGCAAACTTCCCCTCATTCAATTAAATACTATTTATGAAATTTGTCATGTTCGGCATGGGGCGGCACACCGCGTGGCAGCACGCAAAATGATCGTTTAGTTTATCACGGGGGATTTATACAAGTAATTTGTGTCCCCTCTTAACGCAATAACACACTCTCCTTATACACACACGAAAAAAGGATTACCTTAGCTACATTGGCGTGTTCGGCGGGGTGGAGCAGTCGGGGCAGGTTAGTGACCTGCGATTCCGATAGCCGCGGGAGTCGTTTAGTTTATCATGCAATTAACATGTCGTACTGGTTATCCACAAGTTGTAAACTGGTTATCCAGAAGATGTAAACAGATTATCCAATGCTCTATATTGATTATCCAGGACTTTTGTACTGGTTATCCAGCCAATGTGCAGCAATATCCAACCGTTTGTAATGGTTATCCAGGATCTTTGTACTAGTTATCCAACTTGTTACACCTGATTATCCGAATGTTTTATAGTGATTATCCAGTAAAAAAAAATGCAAGTACATCATTTAATGTAAAGGTGAAAAATGTTAAGCGCGTGTAACGCGTGTGTTTGGTGGGGTATAGGGTATATCCGAGTGCACTGGATATGGACTTTATCTCACAATTAATTGCCCATTTTAGTGCCAAGATGCAGTTCTTGAAAAGTGTATATGGGAGGACGAGGATTGGGTGGGATGAGAGATTTTTACTGACACAAAATTGATGATCGGATTATCAAATCTTTTTATTACAAATTTTCAGACTAAATTATTATTAAAAAATTATCGATTCAGTCCAAATTATCTAATCTTGTTCTCTTTTGAATAACCACTATATAGAATTACGTATTAACTAAAAGAATTATAACATATAGTGTATAAGTTATATGCATGTAATCGCTAAATTTTTTCTTATGTATAATTTTTAACATATTATACAACATTTACTTTTGTATGCAACTTTTCAATTAAATACAGAATGGTTGGTGAAAAGTGTACATTTAGAAAAAAGAAGAAAACTCCAGAACAATACTCTAAAACCTAAACCCTTATGCTGAGAGAGGAAATATCAAGTCTATTAGCTAAAATCTTGAAAAATCCAAAAGGAAATTAGATTGATGTCTGCACATAATTCCCTACTCCTCACAACTCAACTAGATACTTATCTTTAGAAGAATACTTGAAATCCATAGTATTTAATTAAAGCAGCAAACAAAAATGACACATGTCAGCTCTACAATGAAAATTTTCCCTCCAAAAGACTTTTTAGTACAAAATGAAAACTGACAAGTGGCGCTCTAGATTTTCAGAAGAAATAAGCTGTAAACAATGATAAAATTTGCGTAAAAATGTATATATATATATATATATATTTATGCTGGAAATCCATGTGCAATTAATTTGTACCAATCAATTAGGGATATAAACACGCATCCCATGTATTTTGCAATTGAACCACTAAATCAAGGACGTAATCACGCATCCATTTTAATTAGTTTACTGAATCAAAATTATCTTGTGGATATATAAAAACGTTTTTATTTTTACCGAAAAGTTAATTTCAGAATAGTAAATATTACATAAATTACTATTTATTACAATGCTGGACAATGCAAAATGACCACTTTACAATGACGTCCATGATCTATTCCCTAAAATCTTACTGTTTTACTCTGTCGTTAAATCTAATTCCTGCAATCAGAATTCAGAAAAATCAATGATATGATTTGGAAACCAAAATTTCAAAAAACAATCAATGATATTCAAATCATGAAGATAATTATGGATACATTCGATGATTGATTTATTCATCAATATCTATAAAACAGACTGTATGTATATCTCACCTCCAGTTTTGCAGGAACCTTCAAAATCAATGAGATATACTTACCTTTTTCCAAATACGTGCACAAGGATTCTATCATCTCCACCAAAACCTTTTTCCAATATCCAATAGAGCAGGCAGAAAATACCATCACTCAGAAAACCCTAATCATATATGCAGCAGAGAAAACAAATGAACCTGTGGTAAACCAAAATACCACATCTCAGAAAACCCAACCCATGTCTTAGTGCCATACGAATCATTATAAATACGTTCATAAGGATTCTATCATCTCCACCAAAACCTTTTTCCAATATCCAATAGAGCAGCCAGAAAATACCATCACTCAGAAAATCCTAATCATGTATGCAGCACAGAAAACAAAACAACCTGTGGTCAACCAAAATACCATATCTCAGAAAACCCAACCCATGTCTGCAGCACACAAAACAAATAACCTTGTCTCTGAAAGTGCCATGATTGCTACTCATGATCCTGTTTATACAGATCATGAACTTGAAACATCTGCAACTGATGTTGCCGCATCTGTGGAGGGATCAGTCACCTCTGTGCTCCAATCTCATGAAAAGACTCCTGCTGGAAACCAAATTGCTGAAGGTGACACTATTGTTGTGGCTCCTCATGTCCCTATTGTTGCTGCACAAAGGTATATTGCGGATATCAATGGGTTGATTCCAACCAAAAGCACCCATTTCAACATCGTCGTTCGTGTGATAACCATCTGGAAAATGTACGAAACAAAGGAAAAGAAAAATGTCAGATCTGTTGAGTTGGCTTTGATTGATGCTCAGGTATTGTTGTCGTTTTTATGATTTAAAAATTTATTCGTGAATACATTATTCTATAATTACATTTAAATTAATTACATTAAATGAGTTCATATATTTGTCATACAAGGATAAAAAATTCAGGCTACTATACCTGGTAGAATGGTGAAGGATTTTATGAAATATTTCAAAGATGAAGGTGTTTGCAGGAGGCTATCGCGCTTTGATCACGGACTTAATATAAGTGGAGGTTACCGTTGCTCCAGACACGAGTATAAAATTATGTTTGGATCTGACACACTGGTCGAATCAGCTGTTGATTTAGAAATCCCTAATCATGTTTTTGAATACACTCCGTTTGCAGAAATCACAAATTTCGTAGCAAATTTTGACTACTGTTTTGGTAAGGATACATTATTATATGATTTAGGCATATATTTCCGTTGGTTATATATACGTGAATTATGTATGTTTCATAACAACTAATGGATTAACATGTAAATCTACTTTCAGATTTGATAGGACACATCATTGGTTTCAGTGATCCTATTATTGAAAATGGGAAAAAAAGAATCTCTGTTGAACTAGAAGATGAAAGGTAATTATTACTACATGGTTACTTAAGATATATTTTTTGAGTGTTTTACCAATTTCCAGTATATTACAATCATACACTTATGTAATAAAATTGTATGTATATTTACAGAGCTGATACATTGAAGGTTACTTTGTGGGATGAACACGCTGATCGTGTTCTCAACTGTATGAATAATAACCCTGAATATCCTGTGGTCATGATTGTGCAGTATGTAAAGTGTAAAAAATACTATTGTAAGTTTCTTAAAAAAATACATACTCATTGATTTTAGCAATTATGTTAGCTATTATGGCAAATCGAGCTTTTTATGATTAAAACTCCTTTCTGTTTACCTACAGCTAAGGTTTCGGCTACAACGAATCTTTACAATGGTAGGATATATCTCAATGATATGACCATTCCTGATATATACGAGTACGAACACAGGTACCTGATTATTTTCTGAAAATACATATAACAGTTTAAAAATACTGACCTCCTAAAACATGCTTAGTATAATTTATTAATGTCCAGTATTATTTTTAAATATTATTAATTTTGTAGGATGGAACAAGATGAGATCAAGGGTGCCAGTATCCACAAGATTTCAATGCTCTCATCCATTTCAGGGTATACATCATTTGAGGACTTTGTCCATGAGGCTGAGATGTTAACTTTGTCTGGGATTTCTGAATTGGACCAGGTAATATGTTGTTTGTATACCGTATTATGTAACAAAATAATATATATACATTAATTAATATATTCGCCTTTTATTTTTACAGGCTTGCAACGTTGTGGTATTTGGTAAGATAAGTGGTTTAGCAAAGGAACATGACTGGTCATATACAGGTTGCAATATTTGTAACAAGAAGGTTTTTGAGATTGAAAATGCTGACAAGTTCAACAGTGGTGGAGGGAATAAAAAGACACCTCTTGGCACGGGTAGAAAGACAGATACTGGAAAGGCTATTGGATGTGACAAAAAGTGGATGTGCAGTAATCGTGGACCGATTTTGGCTGTTGCCCCAAAGTAAAATAAAAAACACGACTAAAGATTTTATATTGATTATGGGTTTTACTTTAAAATTTTTTGAAATTGATTTTTTACACAACTTTAAAAACATATCCTGATGTATCTACTTCATATTCAAACTGAAGGTATACGTAGTTGATGGATCAGGTAGCAGGGTTGCTACACTTTGGGACAGAATGGTTTATAATTTCATAAACAAAACTGCTACCGAACTACGTGAACATGTATACTTTAAATTACACAACAAAGCTTAGTTAATTGTGAAATGCATTGCATTTATAATCAGAAAAACCAGTTGTTGTCTACTGTTATGGGATTTATGTTTTTTATTTTAATAGAAAACTGATGATTACCCTGAGATTCTGGAAGAGATAGTTGGAAAGAAATGTTTATTTAGGCTGGATGTATCTAATTACAATATTAGGAATAGCACCAGTGAGGTATCTGTTGCCAGAGTTACTACTGATGCAGAAATAATCAAGAAATATCTTGATGTTTTTTCTGATGATAAGGTAATCTATCCAAGTATAATAATAATATCGATTTGCAATGTTGGAATTATAGTTTGGTGACATCATTTTTTTATGTTCCAGGAAATTGATCCAGATTTAAGTTCAGAATTCTATCCCAATGTAACACCAACTCAGTATAGCACTGCTAAGGTATTTTTTATGTTTGTTTCCTACATATTTAACACGAAGTCTATCATAAAAATTATTTTCACATTTGTTGATTACTTATTATTATAAATAATTTCAGACAGCTGTGTCGTGCACTGACGAAACTGAGTTGGGATTACCTGGAGATGAATCAGCTGACAGCCCTCCTCCAAAAAAGTCTACATCTGCACATTATGGTGAAGAAAGTGTGAAGTCTCATCCCAGCAAGCGTGCCAGGAAGCTCTGATCAAACTGAGAAATCACCAATTTCCTGTTTTCAAAATAAAGGATTCATCACTGGAGTTTAGATGTTTCCATTTTCAGAATATACATTATTTTTAGAACTTATCATGTTTTCTTTGTGATTTTCTTGGAACAGTTTCTTTTTAGGTTTATGAACTTTGATTATTGTCAGCTTTTCGTAAGATATGTCTTATGATGCATGTGTTATGATACATTAGAATTTTTTTCCATCCAACAATTTGAATAAATATATGTTGTCTTTATTGTATTGAATGTGCTGAAAATCACAAATTTAAGATTACCTGGACATGAATCACCCGACTGTCCTTTTGCAAACAACTCTACACCTGCACATTGTGGTGAAGAAAGTGTGAAGTCTCATTCCGGGAATTCTGCCACGAAACTCTGGAAAAGAAAAAAGTACATCATATTCATGGTTTCACAACAAAGGAAAGATATGTAGAGTTTAGTGGTTACCTTATATAAAGTAAACTGTTAACAATTGACCTGAAAACTATTGACCCACATTAGTAAAAATTAATTTATTTCCACAAACATTTCCAACATTACTGTGTACAAATTCATGCCAATCAAATCTCATATCATGAAAAAATGATATGAAATTTGGGTTGATTGGTAGCTTATAAGACTGAAATAATTGAATCTGTAAATACAGTTTCATGAATGGGTTATATTTACAATCAATTACTTAAAATCACAGATAACTGAAAGTGCTGATCCCTAAAAATATGCTAATCATCACGTTTTACATGGAAGATGTATAGTTGCCTTTAAAAAATGATCCCTAAAAGTATGCTAAATTGAATCCTTAATTTGAAGATATATAATTTCCTTTAAAGTGGATGTATATACAGAGATTCAGTCTAAAACGAAGTAGTCTAATAGACTCCTAATTAATAGGGGAATTGAAAAGATATATATACAGGATAAGCACTCATATTCACATATACATCCACTTTTATTCGTCAAAAATAAAAATCAAGTAACAGGTCAATAGTTTTCATAAGGATAACAGGTTCAATCTCAGGGGACGTGATGGAATACGGGTATGATCAATTGGTGAAGGTTCCAGCAACCATCCGGATTAAAGGTTTGGTAAGTGTATAACAACATGCAAAATAGTTTTTAATTACAATCATACATATGGTTTAGTAATTTTTAGATTCCTGCAGATACTTAGCAGTAATCTCTTTGCGAATTTGAGACATGTTGGCCAACAAATCAGGATTGAAGCTCCTGGAATCCGGAATTTTTATGCAAACATGCATATTAATAAGAAAAACAGATGTCAATTATATGGATCTGCACTAAAGCAATTCTTTTCATCCACTGGTGTATCTCCTGGATGTAAGATTCATATCGTTTATCACAAAGCTGGTAATATGCTGCATTTTTTTACTATTTGATCACATCGGATTCCAACGACTTTCATCAGAACTAACTGCAAACTATGGTCATCGGTACCCTATGGAGTTAAACCCTAACAATTCCAGTCCATGTGTAAGTATAACTTATATAATTGTAATTGCTTTTTCTCATTTGGTTTTTTGAAAACATAATTAAATTGATTGTGGAAATGATATATGGTTTTCAATTGTAGGTTATTAATACACAATACTTTAGAGCTATAGGTTGGCCTTCTGATCAAACTATTTCAATGGTGATTGATGATAATCACAAACAGTGGAAATTCCAGATGTATACACAGCATGACCAGCCTATAGTTTTTGAAGGAAGAATGTGGGAAGAATTTCATGACCTCTTTTATAACCATATACAATGTGTTAATGTTATATTTATTTACACCGGCCAGCTATACTTTAAGATGAGGGTTTTCAACAGGGATGGTTACTGCTGTAACCAGGAAATTTATGCTTCAGAAACATCTAAAGGTTTGTGTTTATACCAATGCAATTCAAAACAATTTTCTTCAATTAAATTTGTTTTATGATACATATCATTTATATATTTATTGTAATGACATAGGTGATGTTGACACAATCGACTACATACGTACCAATGGTGATTAGAACACTTTTAGTGTAGTCATGAATACTGATGTTGTTGAACGTGGTAGATTGGTGAGCACACAGGAACCCTTTTTTAATTACATAAAGATGTTTAAATTCCCTTAATCATTACACAGTACTGTTTTAAATATCTGAATATGATATGCTTATATTTTACCTATTTATTATATCCCTAATTTGTGATTTTTGCAATATATTTTGAGTACAAATATGCTATTTATGTGATTTTATCTTTAATTGTAGGAATTGTACTCAAATGAAGAATTGTTGAAGTTTTGAGCTAAAATCGAATTAAAAGCAACTCAATGGGGAAGAATTGAAGATTAGAGCAATTGATGGGGAAGAAATTAATGAATTCAGAGAGTTGGAGGGCCGATGATGCAATTTTAGAATGTTTAATTTTTTTGAAAATTGGCCGAAGGTTACGATGATGGTGCGGCTGATTTGGGATTGGAATTGGATAAGAATTTTAATCCCGATATTATTTGGGAAACAAGTTTTCTTGCTCTTCAAGAAGTAGGGTTTAGCCGGAAGCCAATAAAAGGAGGATTAGGGATTTATTTTTACAATAGAACTGGACCGAAAACTAACCAAAAACCTCACGGCTCAAAATTATCCCTCGCCGACCTCCTCGCTTCCGGCCGCTGCAACTACCTCTTCTCCTCCTCCACACAGCCCTCCTTCATCGGCAGCATCAACACCACCTCTCCTCCATCACCACACACGCAACACCAACTTCTTCCTCTCCTCCTTGACCATCACCGCCGCGCAGCCCCAGCCTTGAACTTCGGCAGCAACCAAGCACCACCTCCACCTCCACCTCTGACCACTGAGACTACACCACCGTACAAAATCCTTCCGCCGACCACGACCTTCTCCCTCTCGCGCAGCATCATCATTACTTGACGCAGCAGCCGCGAAGCAAAGTTAGCACCGTCGGGGAGTTTTGGCAGTTTTTGGCTTCATTCGGGTTTTGGAGTTTAATTATTTAATTTATTTATTTTTATTATGTTTCTAAATATTATTGAATTATTTTTAATAATGTTTAGTAGCTAAATTCTTTTAATCTAGGGTTTGGGTGTAGCCACCGAATTTATTTGGTTTATTTGGTTCATTATTATTTAATTTTTTCATTAATTAATATTTGTTATTCTTGTTTTAATTCGTGTAAGTAATTGGCCACTATTTGCATGTCTAAAGATATTAATCGAAGTAGCGAGAGTGGAAGATTAGTATTAGTTCGTAGGAATAATAAACTTAGGTTATAAGCTACGAGAGTAAGATTATAACCTTTGCAATATTTGATTCTTAATGGTCTTAATGTGCTTTTGTTAATCCCTATAGTCACGAGAGTAGTCATAGGGTTAATTTAAGTAAGAGAATTAAACACGAGAGTGTATAGTTCTTAATTAGGTGAATCGTTGTGAGATTAATGGAGGTTAAAAGTCAAATACTTATGAATTGAATTAAGCCAAATATTCGGTAGGTGAACCCAATGTCCTAAGTTTTCTTTGTCTGATTATTTGAATTACTATTATTTGCTTTTATTTTATTTATTTATTTTAGGTTTAAATTTTATAAATCTGAGATCATCATTTATCTAGATAATAATATGAGTAATTTATACCTGGTAATTAGTATTCCTTCTCTGTGGGATCGACCCTGCTTTCTGCTTTACTACTAGTAATTGTATTAAGTAGGTAATTATTATTTGCTAGTGTGACGACGACTTGTCAGAATACATCATATACAATTTTTGCAAAATTGAAGGAGCTACCATGTCACATTGTAAGAAGATTGGAAGTTGAAGATTACTATCGTTTGATCATCTACTATGATGGAGAACCAGTTATCAGAATGGGCCGTGTCTTGGTTTCTGAATATCCTTATTGATTCATTGTTAAAGGGGACATCAAATACATGATGGAATTTAAGAAGATCCCTATTGGTATCAAGCTTGGATATCGTATAGATGCTCGGAAGGCTGCTAATAAGGAGCATTTGATTTTGGAAATTCTGTAGTTGTTCTACATCTTTATGTTATTCCATATTCAAATATTTGTATGTTTTTAGTTTGTTTCCGTTGAAATATCATGTAATAATGATATTATAACTTAATAAAGTATTTTTTTGTTAGTTTTACCCCACAGTAATGTGATGACACCTTAATTTAAATGTATTTAATCATTATTAATGAAAATTTAACATTTGCAAATAGTACTTTTACATTATCCAAAAATTTTCATAATTACAGATTAAATAATTATCATACAGGAATGTGAATTTTAATGTGAATTACAATTTCCGATCCTATAGTTTAGGCAATAATAATTCACGTACATCAAAATCAATTCCTTTCTGATAATGTATTTTATTTTATTATATATATTCAACCATATCAATACATGATATGATTCATACCCTGTTAACATTCCTATTTATGATATGATTCATACCCTGTTAACATTGCTATTTATACTTATTCAACGATATATTGTCCTTATCTTATGTTCTGTAACCATTTTCTAATTATCTATCATAAACATAAAGGAAAACTTTATGCACAATGAAAAACAAGTGGGATTCAAAAGAGGCCAGATTGTTAAGAAAACATATTTTACAGGAGAAGAGACTCAGTGTTCATCGACCAGTAACTAATTTTACTCAGGTTGTTCCTGTTAAAAAGGCCGTTCCAGTGGTAATTCAACAGCATGATGAATTGCGTAGTAAAAGGTGCAGGATTCATAGAGTACAGATTCAGGATTTACCACGGCCTCTTCCAGTTATTGCAAAAAAATCCAGGTTTGATAGAAAACATATTTTATATCAGAAAAGAATCGGTTCAATTATGAATATAGATCAAAGTGCATCACCAATTCCTGAAATTATAAGTTCCAGAGGTGGTAAGATTTCCAGAGATAAAAGGAAGGATATCTTAGAAAAAAGGAAGGGT